GTTACTTGATTTTAAGACAGCAAGATCCTATGTAAGACCTAAAGGAAAACACTTCTGTTTGCTTTTAACTTATATACACAGATGTCTTTAAGTTTTAAATAAACTTTATGCATTTGAAATGCCATAAAAATAAATACTGTGGGCTACTTCCTAAATGAGCATTTTGGGGATGTGATGTTCATGTGAATAACATGACTTTGCCACACATGAATAGTATGGACAGAGCTGCAGATGGACTTGATCTTTTGGCCAGTATTGGGTTGAATAAGACTTCTAAATATCTTGGCCGTAATGAATAAAGTTAAATTCCTCTCCCCTGTAGCTTTTTGTTGCTGTTATTTATTTTTTATTTTTACTTTTTTTTTTTTTAATTGTAGCTACAGATAGAAAAGGTTTCCTGGGATTAGGAAGTGTAATTATTTAGGCATTAAACAAAGAGTTGTTTTAGAAATTTTACTATCATTAGGAGGAAGTTTTAAAAGACTGGAATTCCATTGTCTTGTGAGAAGTAAGAAATATTTATTGATTCCCAAATGGAGCTGAAAAAACCTTTCCTCTCTTAGAAAGTTGTGAATGACCCAGCGAGAGCTCTAGTAAGCTTTACTGAACCAAGCTGCTAATAGTTATTTAATGTTATTCTTCAGTGTGAAAGAATCTCCGTAGATTTTCCTTTTAATCTCTTTGAATTGCAGGCTCATAAACCTCTCTGATGAGTCTTGCCAGTGTTTTCTTAGATCCCACTGTTGAGACAATGGAGCCACAGAATTCTTTTACCTCTTGTTGTCAGACAAATCCAATAGAACACAAGGTCAGAAGGGCCTATGCTTCTAAAGGTTGAAAGATTCTTTTTCAAGTAACCACATAAATTATTTGATTTTATCATTTTATTCCTCCAGAACCACTCTTATACTATAATGAACTGATTTCTATATGTAAGTAAATTGGAAGTTTTTCTTGTCTGCATATTTGGCTAAGCTTTTGAGTATAGAACAGAGTGTGAACAGCCCTTAGTGCTCCTAGATCCCTTAGAAAAAGTTGGACCCATTTACTTCAAAAGAATCAGGAATCATGTAGTGTCATTGGACTCAAGATGGAGTACACCAAATGCCAGGTAATGCTTTTTCTTTCCAAATGGCTGTGGGGTTTTTTTTGTTTTGTTTTGGGGTTCTCTCTCTCCCTCTCTCTATTTTTTTAATACTTGCTACCATTCTATAGCAAAGATTCCGGGTTTAGAATCTTGGATCTGTTTCTTTAATTCACTCTCAAAGTTAGTTTATTTATGTTTTCTCAACATTTTTAATAGTGTCACATTAACAGGAGAACTTTGAGATAGGATTTGTGTTTCTGGATACCTATTAAAATGTTTCGTTACAATGAGCAAAATATTTATAATATGTATTACTACAAAAGAAAACTAACTTATGTGTTGTGAAAATGCCATGCCTGATTAGTAGACAATTATCAAAGCTAATTACAGGGTTCCTGTGAGTTACTTTAGGGGATGGGGAAGAATTAAGTTTTCTAATTATAACCACAATGGTGGACAAGCAGAGATCATTGTTTAAAAAGAAAAAAAAAAACATTGATTTGTTTGTGCTCCTTCCTTGTAATTGTAGTGGGGCTGGGTTGCCGGGAAAGGAATTTGCTGTTGCCCATCCCTGGACACCTGCCTCTCAACAAAGGATCTTGGTCACCCCCCACCGCCCACATTTAGATTTACCTTTTACTTGAATGTACCCTGTCTGCTCATTATACAGTTCTCCAGGGATCCAATTTTCCCCTGAGTTAATCACCCCGAGCCTTTTTCAGAAGTTGTTAGATTACTGACTTTCAAAGAGTGCACATTTTCTTAAGAGTCTCTTTATTCCCTTAACTTTTCTTTCCTTATTTCCATTAAAAAATGTAGCCATTAAAGTCTCAACACTTTACCTTTAAAACTTTTTATTGAAATATAACATCCACACAGAGAAGTACACAAATCTAAGTGTATATAGCTTGATGGATTTTCACAGTGAACACACCCAGTTAACCAGAAGGCCCGTTGTGACTTCTTCCAGTCACCACTCCCTCTCCCCTCCCCCCAACACCCTAGGGTAATTTTGCCAGTTACATTTCATATAATGGGTAATCATACAGTATGTTCTCTTTGGTGTCAGATACTGATTTTTAAAACCAGAATCCCCACAGAAAATTGGACTGTGTGCCCCTGGTACTGAATAATCAGGTCACACTATACAGATGTTTAGACAGCCACAGAACATGAGAATATTTTAATATCCTCCTTTTAACTCTGACCTTGGGCAAGAGACTAACAATTTTTGTGTTCTGTTTTTCCATTTACCGTGAGATATGGTTTAAGTTACTCTTTCAACCAAGAAATAGGTAGCTACTCTAAAGTTCCTGTGCATAGAGATAAAGAAGAAGAAAAAAATAATAATGTAAAAGCTACTTTTTGAGTAGGTGGAATAATAGAAAGGGTTGCACATGAAATAGTAACTGTCTGAAAATAACAATAGCTTCCCAGTAGAGAAGCAGAACAATAGGAAGCTGACTTGCTTGGCAGTTATGTTTGCAAGTTATTTCTCCTTTATTATTTTTAAATAAAAATGGAATCATGGACAGATATGGATGGATTATCTTTTTGTACTATTAATAAATTACAAGTTAGGTTAGATTTAAAAAGCTGATTCATCTTGTCATTATCTCTGCTTTGTCCGATTTGCTTTGATTTCAAAATTACTTAAGATATGTCTATAAGATACCCTGGAATATAGGCAACTTGGTTGTAAATTAATTACACCTGTTTTTCTCCTAAACAAGATCTGTTAAATGCCAATTAACCCCTTCCTCAAATCGAAAACAGTGTTTAATCTCCCCATCCTAGCAAGCTATCCTGATCCTTTTGAGTAAGAAATTAAAACATGGTAAGATTATTTTCCCATCCATGAGACTGTTAGGTAGAATTTTTTTAAATTAGGAATGAATTTGTACCCTCTGTGTAATGTCCCCATGGCTCCCATAGCACCATGAGTGGGGTCCCAACTGGCTCCCTCTGCTGATGTCTACTGTTTGCTTTTTCTCTCCTGTCCTGTGTCTAAGGCAGGAAACAAGGGCCTCAAGCCCCATTCCCTCCCTAATTTGACAGGAGGATTGAATGTTTTGTATTTTGGTTTTTTGGTTTATTTTGTTCTGAAATTAAATTATTCAAAATAAAGAAGATGAAGTTATACAGAAAAAATTAGAAATAACTGAATATCATATAGCCAAGTGTACTTTATGTAGAATGTGGAAATTAAATTGTTTTGTTTTGCTTAGAAATTACCTAGCATACTGTTAAAAACTTCAGTGGGCATTACGAAGATGGAGGAACTATCTCCACCCAATGGCAAAGTCTTTATCCTTTGGATTTTGGGGACAATCTAATAGACTGTTAGTACCCAGTAAATATGAAGTGGTATAATATTTGACATAACTTAATAGAAAACCATGGTGAGTTCAAAATATTGTATAATCTTTTCATCTATTTTAAAATTATGTAACTCACCAATAAATTTTGAACAGGCAGTTATTAAATATAATTAAATAGCAGGCATTCACACACGGAACAAAGAGAAGCATTCTTAGCAAGTGAACAAGAGACTAGTGAGACAGCTAAAGAAAATTTCGTTGGAGTGGGGAGTAGATTTTAATAGTTTTTTTTTTTTTTTTTTTAAGCATTGACTTGTAGAAGAACAATACAAACATATAGGAAATATAGCATGCCTTTAAAAAGGATAAGTGCTCCCCATCTATATTTGCCTTTTTGTCCCAAAGAACACTTGTTTTAAGCAAGACAGTCTATGCTTCTACTACCTGGACCACACTCTTAGTAAATTTAGGTGGAATTATAGGCTTTCTTGGACCTTCCATCTGTAGCAAAAACTTTGGCCCAGGAAACAGCAATGGAACATCAACACAATATAGTTGTGTTGTGGAGTTATTGAAATATTAAAACAATTTTCCCTTTAAGTTACTTATTATTCTGTTATGAGCAATTAAAAGTCAAATGACTGACTGATAGCCCCTTACATTTGGGTAGAGCTTTATTCTTTACAGCACTTTTAGCCTGATCTCATTTGATTGGAAGAACACCCTTCTATTAGTCTGCCTGAGTTGCTATAACAAAATACCGTAGATGCAGTAGCTTAAACAAAATATATTTCTCACAGTTCAGGAGGCTGCAGAGTCCAAGATTGAGGTGCTGGTTGGTTCAGTGTCTGATGAGGGCTCTCCTGGCTTTATAGACAGCCTCCTCCTTGATGTGCCCTCACATGGCCTTTCTCCTGTGTGTGGAGAGCTCTTTCTCTCTTCCTCTTCCTATAAGGCCACCCAGTCCTAAGGGATTAGGACCCCACTCTTATGACCTCATTTCACTTTAATTACCTCTTAAAAGCCTGTTTTCAAGTACAGTCACATTGTGAGTTAAGATATCAACATGTCAGTTATGGGGGAACACAATTCAGTCAACAGCAACCTTCATGAAGTAGGTAAGAAAGAGCTAACACCCGTCTTAGCGATGAAAAAAACTGATACACCTATGGTTAAAAAGCTAGTAAAATATCATAACTAAGGTTCAGATACAGTTATTTTTACGTAACTTCACTTTGCCTGCTTAACTACAGATATGTTTTATCTGACAAAAAATTTCCCTGTCTCACAAAATAGAGGTCACTAGTTGATAGCAAAGAATCATCAAAATCGACTTCCTTCTTTTGCGTGTTGCATATTTATGAAAATGGGACAGACATTGACTATTAAAGTTTATAAGAAATGGTATGTTCTAAATTTTTCAGTTAGCTGACATCAGGTAGCTTTAACACTTCTGTCAAAAGTACTAAACTTAAGTTTTTAAATGGTAGATAAATTAGAATTATTGTGACCAGGCTGGAGTTGCCTTCTCAGCATTCTTCATGGTTGCAATTAAAGTATCAAAATTAAATATCTTATTTTATATTTTACAGAAGATGATCTAAGAAATATGGGACCAGTAGATGCTCAAATATATCTTGAAGAAATGTCTTGGAATGAAGGTTGGAAGTTTTTTTTTCTCTTGATTACACTGAAGAAAAATATTAGGAATTTTCTATTAATATAAGGAAAAAAAACCTCAGGATATTTGGAAATTTGAAAAAGAAGTAATGGCTTGGCTTTCCATATGTATGTGTGTTTCTGTTTGGAATATTTTTGTTTCATTCTTAGCTTTATTGATGTCTTGCTATACAATTCATTTCCAGTTGTTTTCTAATTAGATATGAAGTGCATAAGATTTCATAAGGGGTTTTTTGTTTTGTTTTTACTATTTTGGTTTTTGCAATACTCTCTGTGTAGTATGGTAAATAAAGTCAAAGAGGATACTTTTTTCCATTCTTCTTTATGTTAAGATGAATTCCTATTAGAATTTTTATTTTCTCTTTATATGGGATCATAAACTGTCAGGGCAGGGCTTTTAATGTTACACTCTTCTACTTGGAGGCTTGATTTTTATTTTACTCTCACTTTTTGATTGTCTCTTAGGAGGAAAAGAAAAATCTGTCACTGCCCTTGATCCATCACGAAGTCATACCTTTTTCCCTTTTCCGTTATTAAAAATTTACAACTTAAATCTAGTTTAATTTCCCTATTTTTGTGATAGTTCCTTGAGTTTTTCTGGTTAGACACCATCAAATTGGGAAAATACCCTTTTCTGAATGGAAGCCATGAGTACCATACTTCCTTGTTTCTCTGGGCAAATGAAGAAAATCTTAACTATTTCCTTGAATTTTTATATGCTCTTAACCTATAACTTTATTGTTCACCCTGGGGTACAAATTCTCTAAAGGTTTATAAAAATTTACTAATAAGTGTGGATGAATAGAAGATAAACAGCCATCTGAAAACAACTTTTTGTTGTTTTTAATGGCAGATTCTTAACTTAGTGCTCTTAAGAAGTGAGTCACAAGCCATATTAACTGAGGGGAATGATTTTTTTTTTTTGCCTATGGGACCATTCTGCCTCCAGCCACCCAAATGAAATCCTAAAGTGGAAATTTTCATTTGCAGTGAATAGTTGGAAAAGTTGAGGTTTTGTGTAGCTGGGCTCCCACTGATGGTGATAGTCTCATCAGAGTAAATAGGAACAGCTAATGCACTAGTGACATAGGCTTTCACTGCTAGTTTGAGGAAGGGACTAACTAGAACATGTCATTTTTCAGGGAGACCTGCCAAACTAAATATATTTTTTGAAATTACAGTTTATTTCCTTATCAATCAGTATGCATATGTACATTTGTATGTGTTTAATTTCTCACTAAACAAATTCATTCTTGCTGTAGTTGATATGGCTGATATATTTAATAATGAGTCCTTAAAATGTAAAAATAGTGAAAACTGGTTTTTGTAATTTTTCCTTTTTTATTAAACTTTTAAAAATAGAGTTAATAATTTTAAGATTTTAAATTAAGGATATGGATTGTTGGTTCAAGCTTCTGTTCAGTCAGTAAATACATGGGCTTTCTGATAAAACTAGAAATGCTAACATATTAAAGGAAATATACAACATGAAATCATCAAAAGTTATCATAAATGTGTTAATGTCCCTGGGACTCCCTAAAGTAAACCTGACAGTAAAGAAGATATACAAGATCCCAGCCATAGCCAATAAATCAGTTATAAGCAGATACAGTTAATCTTAAAAGTATAGGATACCCAAAGATGCTTATTTAAATTAAGGGTTTTTATAGTTGTAAAGGTGGAAATAATCCTTATCTTCATGAGAGAAAATACTGAGAACAGATAAATGAAGCCATTATTCTTGCAAGAGTATTTTAAAACTAACTACAGATGTTTTGAACTAACATTTTTTTTTTTTTTTTTTTGCAATTGAAAAGAGCAGTTTGGGCAGAAGAAGTTAAATAAAAAGTGTAATCAAGTGGGCAAGTAAAAAATTGTTTAAAGATTCCTTCAGGATCATTTTCAGAATAGCCTTGGAAGGTGAAGATCCAGAACAGGAAAAAAGTTGATGAAACCCTACATTGTAGACATAGCCAAATTGTCAGCTGCTTGATCAAAGGACAATAAATTTTATTATGCTTAAAAGGCATGCATGAACTGTTGAGGGATTGAAGCTAACCTTCTCCTTAAGTTAGTCTCATATAACTTGGTCATTTTGTTCATTTTGTTGGTCTTCATTCAGTGTATTTAAAATGATGATTTCTGTAAATATATCGCTTTGTTAAAAGCTTGATGATAAAATAATAATAGAAGAAGAAATTTTAACAAGATGTGAATTTTTAGTGAGCATTAACATTTGGAGTCATCTATGACAAAACTCCACAGTAGCCGATGGTGTCCTCAGTGTCATTTACCAAGCACATGTCACCTCAGATCGTTTCTCAGTGTTCATTGAGGTGGTAAAAAAACAAGGGGAGAGTAAGCTTAAGACAAATCGATGGTTAGAATATGTACACTTTTAGACAATTTAATAATAAAACAATTCACTTTGAAAACATACTCTAGTACTTGTAAATTGGCTTAGGGATGTTTGTATTTTAAATTCAAGATTAAATTATTTTTCATTATAGAGAAAGAAGGCATTGTGGTGAAGAATAAAAAGCAGGATTAGGTGAATGAATTCATGTTTTCCTTACTGAATAAGAAAACCAAAGTTGGCTTATTTATTCACTAATTTTTCCAAGGCTAAATTTGATAGAAAGCAAGTGTAAGGCAGTTGAATTTTTCTTTTTCTTTTTATTACTATATGTAATAAGATCTAAATATTAATCAAGTTTGAGAACCGAATGAAGATATTTGTAGGAAATCATGAGTTCTTTGATAAAAACTTCATTTATCTCTGATAAAAAATTATGATAGTGGTAAAATAGATGATGTGATTGGTAAGTTGTTTTTCTTTCACAGTCACTTCTCAGAGACAGTAAATGAATGACCAGTGGATCAGAGACTCTTTCAGTCAAAGGACAAAAGCATTTCAACTTCCTAGGAAGATAATAGACTCAAAATTCCCACCATTAGTCTACATGTTGCACCATATGGCCTCCTTTGGGCATCTCACTTCAGCATTTTCCTGTTGGTTCATATATCATTTGTAAACACCAAACAAACA